GGAGCGAAGACGGAGGAGGAGGAGCAGGGAGGAGCAGGAGGAGGAGGAGGAGAGGGAGGAGGAGGAGGTGGAGGAGGAGGAAGAGGAGCAGGAGCAGCAGCAGCAGGAGGAGAGGAGGACGAGGAGCAGCAGCAAGAGGGGGAGGAACAAAAGAGGGCAGGAGGCAGGAGGAGGAGGAGGAGGAGCAGGAGCAGCAACAGCAGCAGCAGCAACAGCAGGAGGAGGAGAGGAGGACGATGAGGAGGAGGAGGAGGAGGAGGAAGAGGAAGAGGAAGAGGAAGAGGAGGAGGAGGAGGAGGAGGAGGAGGAGGAGGAGGAGGTGGAGAGACGTCGGACAAAGGCCGCGACATCGGCGCGGCGGGCGTGCGCGGCGGCGCGGAGGGGCTGCCCGCCGCGCTGCGTCACCCCCACGAGAGCCTTCTCGTCCTTCTCTTGCAGCTCCTCCCGCCGCCGTCGCCCGGGCCCATCGCCGTCGCCGTCGCCGTCGCGCGCGGGAGCGCGCGCGAGGGGGTCAGGACGGGGGGGAGAGTCGAGGTTCGGGGAGGCTCGGAGAGGTTCAAGGAGGTTCGAGACGTTCGAGGAGGTTCGAGGCTCGAGGAGGTCCGAGGAGACTGGAGAAGTCCCGAGGCTCGAGGAGGTTCGAGGTTCGAGGAGGCTCGAGGAGGTCCGAGGAGGTCCGAGGAGGTTCGAGGAGGCTCGAAGAGGCTCGAAGAGGGCTGGGGAGGCCAGAGGAGCTTCGAGGAGGCTCGAGGTTCGAGGAGGTTCGAGGCTCGAGGCGGTTCGAGGCTCGAGGAGGTTCGTGGACCTCCTAGGGAGGCTCCTCGCCGCCGCGGCTGGACTATCCCAAAAAATCCTGGCCGAAGGCCCCAGCAGCTGGACGTGTCCTCCCTGGGGGAAAGCCTGGGGAAACTGCAGGCAAGCTAAAAAAGTACACCCTGCGAAATGTTTAAGAGATCATGGGTTAAGAAATTCACAGTCTCAGAAATTGACTAAAAACCCAGAATCCCACCAGCCCTCTGGGCGTAGGTGGTCTAGAACAGATCCTCTTCCACCCCTCCCTCTTCCCCCTTGGGGAGGGGTTTACCCCTCCCCCTACCCCCTCCCCTGGACCTGGACGGGGGGGGCCGCGGGTAGTTAGAGCGTCCCAGATGGCCCAAGACGGCTCCAAGAGCGCCTCAGAGAACCCAAGATGAGCTCCAAGATGGCTCAAGATAGCGCAAGATCGCTCGAGATGGCTCCTAAGATGGTTCCAAGAAGCCCAAAGACGGCCCCAAGATAACTCCAAGTGGCCAAACAGCTCCCCAAGGAGGCCCCGAAGAGGCCAAAATCGTCCCAAAACCTAAGGAAAATCAATGATTTTTGCTTTCTCGCCTTTTCGCTTCCGATGGCCATCCGAGGCCTGGAGATGGCTCCAAGATGGCCCAAGAGGGCCCCAAGAGAGCCCCAAAAGAGCCCCAAGACGGCCCCAAGAGCGCCCAAGAGCACTCCAAGAGCGTTCCAAGAGGGGTCCAAGAGGCGATTTTAGGGGCTTCCGAGGGGGGACGCTAATTAAACCCCCCCTCTTGTTTGATCGACTCCCTCCAAGATGGCCCCAAAAGCGCCCCGAAGGCTCCCCAGAGCGCCTCAAGAGGGTCCCAAGAGGCGCCCAAGATGCCCCAAGGCGCCCAAAAAGCCCTCCAAGAGGCCCTCAAAAGACCCCCAAGAAGCTCCTTCCCCTCCTCCTCCTCCTCCTCCGATTCTTCCTCCTTCTCCGTCCTCCTCCTCCTCCTCCTCCTCCTCTTCCCCCTCCTCCTCCTCCGACGACGACGACGACGACGACTCCTCTTCCATCCTCCCCCTCTCGGGGTCTGTGACAGCTTCCCCCGCCCTTTGTTATTCTGCATGCTCCCCGACTTCCCTGATCACCTCAACTCCCCTGAGCATCGTTTCTGGATGGGCTGGTGGGGATACGCGAAGCGTCAACAATTTCTATGAACATCTTAGGATTTACATGGAAACATTAAGAATAATCGAGACTCTGGCCGAAAACTTAAGCTTTCTTAAGCATCGCCTAAGGTGTACAGTGGAGGCCAGTCCACAAGAAACTTCCCACCAAAAAACCCAACCCCGAGACCCCAGGACGTCCATGGATGCTTGGTGTGGGAACGTCACGTTTTACATTGCAAGACCATCGAAACCCAAGAAACCCATGGTACCCAGGAAGCAAGCAGGGTGTTTCTTGGCATGGGCCTCTACTGCACACGCTAGAGGCAACAGAAGAGAGACTGGAGGCAGGGAGAGAAAGACGGAACGAAGACGAGCAAGCAGCAAGCGCCACAAGCCAACGAAGGGCAACTGAAAGGCAGGTACAAACAAAATCCGCCGACCCCCTGGTAATCAACAAGTTGCGAGGCGGAGGTGCTCCTGCTCCATGCAACAGGTCCCGTTATCAATGGTATAACTATGAATGTTGCGACCTGCTGAAGACCGGAAGTGGCCCCCATGCCGAAAAAACGTCCCG